TGTAAGTAGGTCTTATTTTCGGAGGATGTTTTATTTTCGGGGAAACAAGGTATCTTGAATGCAAACTACAAACAACAATATCAAGCAAGGTGAAGGAAAAGAAGCAAAAAATAAACAAAAATAAAATAAAAACATAAAAGAGATAATCTCACAAAACATAAAAAAACCAATATAATCAACAATTGAGCAAACAACAAGCAAAGGACAAAGAGAAAACAATTTGGATAGTAAAAAAAGAAAAAAGAGAAGTGTTATGGGCTTAGAGCAGGGGGTTGTAAATTAGATATATAAGTAGGATGAATTTTTATAGGGAGTAAAAGAAGGAATAGGGAAAATATAAAGCAAGAATAGGGGAAGAAAAACAGGACAACAAAAGGTGAAAAGCGAGTAAGAGAATGTTGGCATAAAGGTAAAGTTGAGATAGACTAAAATGATGCTAGAAGAAAGATGAAAATAGAATGTAGAACCCGAATCCCAAAATAAAATAAAGAGAAAATATGACACTTAAAAAAATGTAAAATAGTAGTTGTAATAATACTGATTAAAAATAAAATCTAATAATTAGAAAGGCAAAATCAAGTGAAGGAAAAACACCCCACAATTTCTTAAGTAAAAAATGAAAATAAAAGTAAAAGTGTTCAGTACTGAGGTCATTCACTTCCTCTACTGTTCTGTTCGGAATGCCTGTTTCCTACTCAGGACAGTATTTATTTCTCTGTATTCCACTGCTCCTCAGTGTTATAAGCCAGTCCTGATTTTCAAGTAGGCAGTATTTCTTTGTTATAATCCTTTATTTGTGTTTACACAAGAGTCAATTTGTGATTTAACCCCTGAGAGGTAGTGTTTCTGGATTGACCTCTGGGCCTCTCTAGCTAATGCTTATATTTTGTTTTCCCTGTCACACTTAATACTGGTTTGGGGGAATGGGCTGCCCTAGAACTGGTTCTCTGATCGTTATTCCCCACGTTCCACAAAAACAACTTTCCCCTGCTGTCTCTTAGAGTGTCCCCAATTGGGATCCTATGTTCTGGGCTTAGTAATCAAAAGCAAGAGTTTAAAGAGAAAAAAGAAAATGAAAAAAGAGCCAGAGTCAGTGGGAGACTTTTACCATCTGCATTGCGTGCAAGTTTGTGTAGTCTCCCCCTCCCCCCCCCCCCCCCCCCCCGGCTCTAAGCTATTGGTACACTCTTAAACTTTTTTGGATGCTCTTTTGTGTCCAGTTCAGCTATGGGTTGCTTTTTAGAATTCCCTTCTGTTAGCAGCCCTATGAATCCCCTTCCACACTCGCGGATCATGCTAGCCCCAAAGGCCATGGATTTTTTTGGGGTGCAGACTTCCTCAAGTCCTCTAGCTCCTGTTGTGCAAGGGTCACTCTTCTGCCTGGATCATAAACCTCACCCTTTCCTAGGCAAAATTTGACTTTTCCATGAGAAGGTGCAGAGCTTCTTCGAGCCCATGTATTCGCGTTGCTTGGGGTCTGGTGTTCTTGGGTTCGCATCTGTTCCCTGGGTGTTGTTATAAATTCCTGGGATTTTTAGACTTCTGATATCATCCACTCTCCCTTTGAAGATGATGTAGTCTTCACGTCAGAGCTGTTTGCTCCAGGAGGGATTTCAGCAGCAGTGGAGGCTGCCCAGTAGGGGAACCTCGTCTGGCAATCCTCAACAGTCCCTTCGAGTGTAGCTGTTCCTCAGCTCACAAACACTCTCTGTGCAATCACACACTGTTATCTCACTCATACACCATTTTGCAGTGTGCTTTCCTGTAGGCAGCCATCTCAAGATGCCATACCTGCATTCTTGATTTCTCTGTTATTAAATCACAGCCTTCCATGACTTTGACTTTGACTTCTGAAAACTTTTGTTTTTTGGCTTCCATGTTACATTTTGTTCAGTGTACTTAATAGATTGTTTCTCTGCCTGCACATTTGTGGTAGTGAACTCTTTCCTTGTTTAGATATTGTTTTACTCTGTAAATTTCAGCAGGTTGATAAGTAAGGTACTTCTTTTGTTTTCTAGTAGATGGTATTCTAGCATAGATTTTTGTTCTCTATCATCTACTCTCTTTGTGCCTTTGGGATTACATTGGAGTGACAATCACTTTGGTTACTGAAAATGCTGAGCGTCCACTAAGATGGTGGGTATCCCCTCTTTGACAGGTTTGCCTCAATTACAGGGCCACCACTGTGGTGGAAGAATGTGGGGGATGGTAAAGAAATGGTTTTGTGAGCTCACAGCACTACTTCCTTTTTTATAATGGCCATTGTCCCTACTGTGTTTTTGGAGGTGTCTCACTGTCTGTAGCAGTCTTTTCCAGGATTGTTTGGGCAAGAAATGTAAGTACATAAATAAGGACTCTTATTTCTCTGCCAGCAATGGCTGTTGGCACCCCTTTATTGTTTGTGGTTTATTAATTTTCTTTTTCAGGCTCTGCCATGGATGGGTGGAGCAAGGGAGGCAAGTTTTTTATTTTGTGGCCCTGTCCCTCTACCAACAATAACTATTACCCTGTTGGCACCACTATGCTGTTTAAACTTCTCAACCACCTCTCCTGGTTTTTGTAGTAATGCAGGGAGGGGGACAGGGGAGAGACAGGAGATGTCTTTTTTTTCCTGAGGGTGCTTTTGTTTCTCTGTGTTCCAGGCCATAGTGTGAGAGCCACAGCCTGACATCTCCACTGTACCACCCTCACTGGAATTGTGGTGGGTGCCAAACTGCATCTGTGTCCACTGTTCCTGTTCTTTTTCCCATTCCACTTCACCTACAATTCCAATATACCCATTGTTAGAGGTAGTGATTTGTGTATCTTTCAGGCTTGTTTCTTTGTTTAGTAGGGAATCATTTGTAAAATTATAATTGTCTGACTTGTAAACTTAAGGGGATTAACCAAGGAGTCTGCTCACTAGCTATGATGCTGATATCACTCCTCTTTGCTACTCTTTATAACAAAACCTTTCAAGTGCTTTTTCCATGTTCCCTATGTTTAATTCTTCCATTAGAACTTGCTCCCATTAATTACTCCACAAAAACTCTCTTGTGAAGATCACTAGTAACCTCCATATTGTTAAATTCTTTGTTAAATTAGAGACCACCGTGTACATCCTCTCTCACTATTTGACACATTTGATCATTCCTCAAAATCAGAACACTTGTTTACTTGACTTCTGGAATTTCACCCTTTCCTGCTTTTTCTCCTTTCTCATTGGCTGCTCCTTTTTTGTCTCATTTGCTGTTTTTTTTTGTTTTTTTTTTGTTTTGTTTTTTTAACTATATAATCACTAAATGTTGAAATGCTTCAGGGTTCAATCCTCAGACTTCCCTTCTCTTCCTTTCTTTTATGTATTCAAAGCCTCAATCTCGTTAAATCCCATAGCTTTAAATGTTATCTATTTGTTGCCCTGTCCAGTGTTGTTTTAGTGGGTTAGACATTAAAGGGTTGTACATTAAAGGGTTGTACATTACAACCCATACATTAAAGGGTTGTAAATTTGATTCCCAGTCAAGGGCATGTTCCCCGGTTGGGGGTTTGCACCCCACTCCCAGTCAGGGCATATGCTGAAGGCAATCAGTCTATGTATCTCTTTTATGTTGATATTTCTGTCTCTCTCACTTTCTACCTTCTCCTTCCCTCCCTTTTACTCTTTCTGAAAAGCAATGGAAAACATACCTTAGGTTAGGATTAACATGAATTTTTTTTTTTAAAGGAAATGCCATCTATTTGCTGATACTCCCAAATTTACATTTATAATCCAAATATTTCCTCAGAACATATACATTTGCATATACCCGTTTATTCCACATTATTATGATATTAAATAATTCAAAACTAAACTCTTGATACTCTTCCAAATCTGCTCCTATTACAGGGAGAACTCTGTAAATGGCCCTTTCATTGCTTCAGATGCTGAGGTGAAATACTTACTTTCCTTGACTTCTCTTTGCCATATTATATCTTCAGTCCATCATAAAATCTTCATTATACCTTCAAAGTGTATTCAGAATCCAATGATCCACACTTTTCTCCAAAATCATCTTGTCTGAGCCACGTGGATGATTGCTATAGCTTTCTAACTTCTCTCACCAAGCCTTTGTACTTTCTTATTATCTGTTATTTTTTAACTTGAAAAAAACCCCCAAAAAACAGAATGATTCCTTTTTAAAGAGATGTCAGAACTTGTCATGCTGAATCTTATAATCTTTCAATGACTCCTTGTCTCATAGTAAAAATCTAATTTCTTAAAATGCCAAGACTACGTATTGATTTTTCTTGTGATTTTCTTTTGAGGTCAGAGTATTATTATTTTTTCATTCATGTGAACTGCAGGCTTTGGCTCGTTCCAATATTGTGAAATTTTTTCTAATCTCTGACCTACTTTTGGTCCAAAGCCTTGTCTCTTAGGTTTTTAAAAAAAGATAATTTTAGGTAGGCAGTTGAAGAAAGTTAATGTGGCAACTGTGTATCTTTTTTATTTTCCTCAAAGGTATTTTAGAAGGTTGTTTTTCATGTTTTATTCAACATTTATTGCTGTTCTTCAGGAAATCTGATGTACCATCTACATATAAAGTGTATCCACTGTCGCAGTCATAGTAAACAACAGAGCTATTACACTCACAAATTCTTTAATGCTTTCCCTTTGTTGTCAACCCCTCACCCCTCACCAGCCTATGGAAACTTGGCATATTTTCCATCCCTAAAGTTTTATGTTTTCTAGGATGTCATGTAAATATAATTAAAATATGTAGTCTTAGGGACATGCTTTTTTCACTTAGTGATATACTGTATATTTTACTATATAGTCTTTTTTACTATTGAAATTCTACTTTTAAAATGACAACCAAAATTATTATTTTTTTAATTTTTCAGATTTGTCATCAAATGTGCAAATAACTACTTACCTCCAAAAGAAGAAACTTGTAAAACAGAATTATTTCAATGGAAAATGAATGACTGGCTTCAAAACTATGATCTTAAGAAGTCTATTTCTAGAGATTATATGGAAGTCAGAGGCACATTCGAAAATCAGAAGGAACATTTCAGGCAAGATAAGATTATATATGAAAAAATGTCTATTTTCAATAAGCATACTTACTTATCTCAATATCCCTCATGTAATTCAGAAAAGCCCTATAAATGTAAGGAATGTGGGAAGACCTTTAGACGAGCCTCACACCTAACTCAACATCAAAGTATTCATACTGGTGAAAAACCCTATGAATGTAAGCAATGTTTGAAGGCCTTTAGTCGTGATTCACAGCTCATTCTTCATCAGAGACTTCATACTGGTGAGAAGCCTTATGCATGCAAGGAATGTGGGAAGGCCTTTACTCAGAGCTCACAACTGATTTTACATTACAGAATTCATACTGGTGAAAAACCATATAAATGTGAACAATGTGGAAAAGCTTTTATTCGTAGTTCACAACTAACCCGACATCAAAAAGTCCATACTGGAGAAAAACCTTATGAATGTAAAGAATGTGGGAAGGCCTTTACTCAGAACTCACAACTTACACTGCACCAGAGACTTCATACTGGCGAGAAACTCTATGAATGTAAAGAATGTGGAAAGGTCTTTACTCAGCTTTCACAACTTATTCTACATAAGAGAATCCATTCTGGTGAAAAGCCCTATGTATGTAAAGAATGTGGGAAAGCTTTTATTTGTGGCTCACAGCTTTCTCAACATCAGAAAATTCATAATGGGGAAAAGCCATATGGATGTAAAGAATGTGGGAAGGCCTTTATTCGTGGCTCATTACTTATGCAACATCAGAGGATTCATACTGGTGAAAAACCCTATAAATGTGAACAGTGTGGGAAGGCCTTTATTCGTGGTTCACAACTTACTCAACACCAGAGAATTCATACCAATGAGAAGCCCTATGAATGTAAGGAATGTGGGAAGACCTTTAATCATGGTTCACAACTTACTCAACATCAGAGGATTCATACTGGTGAGAAACCCTATCAATGTAATGAATGTGGAAAAGCTTTTAATAGAGGCTCACTACTTACTCGGCACCAGAGGACTCATACTGGTGAAAAACCCTATGAATGCAAGGAATGTGGAAAGACCTTTAGTCGTGGCTCAGAACTTACTCAACATGAGAGAATTCACACTGGTGAGAAACCCTATGAATGTAAGGAATGTGGGAAGTCTTTTATTCGTGGTTCACAGCTTACTCAACATCAGAGAATTCATACTGGTGAGAAACCTTATGAATGTAAAGAATGTAGAATGGCCTTTACTCAGAGTTCACATCTTTCTCAACATCAGAGACTTCATTCTGGTGAGAAGCCTTATGTATGTAATGAGTGTGGAAAGGCCTTTGCTCGTGGCTTACTACTTATACAGCATCAGAGAATTCATACAGGTGAGAAACCTTATCAGTGTAAGGAATGTGGGAAGGCCTTTATTCGTGGTTCACAACTTACTCAACATCAGCGAATTCACACAGGAGAAAAACCCTATGAATGCAAGGAATGTGGGAAAGCCTTTAGTCATGGTTCTCAACTTACGCTACATCAAAGAATCCATACTGGTGAGAAGCCCTATGAATGCAAAGAATGTAGAAAAGCCTTTACTCAGAGCTCACACCTTTCTCGACATCAGAGAATTCATACTGGTGAGAAACCATATCAATGTAAGGAATGTGGGAAGACCTTTACTCGTGGTTCACAGCTAACTCAACATAAGAGAATTCATATCAGTGAGAAATCTTTTAAATATAAGGAGTGTGGGACAGACTTGGTTTATAGCTCACAAGTTTATATATGAATTATTTGAATTTTTGTGATTAATAGAGACTTCAATGATCTTTAATCCATTACAATCAAAGAATTCTTAAAATGTGAATATGAAAGTACACTTGCCTCATAAAACTCTGCATCAATGATTTTATTTGGGGAAAGATAGTGATAATGTAATCCATGTAGAAAAATTTATTACCAGAAACTGATTAAATTTTAGTGAATTTTAATCAACAGTAATGTAGTAAATATCGGAAGGCCTTCAGCCATTGCATGTCTTTTTAAACATTATTTTGACTCTTATCAGTTGCTTTCCTTTGTGACATTTGTTAGATAACCTTTAAACATTTGTAAGAAAATCTAATAATACCTTCCTTGTCAAATTCTAATAATACCTTTTTTATCAAAGTATTATGTGAGCTGTTACATGTAAAGCTTTTAGAACAGTGCCTTGAACATAGTATAGCACAAATATTAGCTGTTATTATAGTGTTAGATAATTTGCATGAGAGGAGGACACTTTATGTGTATAATGAATATTTAGAAATAGTCCACTTAACACTTCGCCCTCATTATTTGAATGGGGAGCACTATATGCTATAATAAATGTGAGCAAACTTTTATTTAGAGTTCATCCAATATGCTACAAAAGGAATTCATACTGTATTAAACACACACACACACACACACACACACACACACTCTGTAGGTTTAATAAGTGGATTGTTGATGAGGTTTTAAGTGAATTGTAACAAAGTCCAAAAACTCATATTTTCTACTATTTCTGACCACAATTCAAGAATATTATTTAGAAATGGATAATCATAATAAATCTTTCTACTGGGAACTTTTGAAAAACTTGGGTTTACAGTTCTTTTTATTAACCTTAAAATAAAAACTGACATTACAGACTATTTTGCAATGAAAAAATAAGTCTATGTTAGAGACTGCTGTTTTTTCTGTCTAATATCCATTTCCATTTTTTAGTAACTGTATTCGTGATTGAAAACCTATGTAAGCTTCCCTTGCTGATCAAAGTGAAAAAGATATTTTGTATGATTAGTACATTTAACTTTTCTCTCCCCTATACCCTCCTATTTACCCTCTGTCTACAATATGGACATTTAATCTGCAACACTGGTAGGTTTTATTTTTTTATTGATTATGGTATCACATAATTGCCCCCATACCCCCATTTCCATCCCAATCCCCTCTCCACATATGTCCCCACCCCCTTAACCATGACCACTGGTTAGGCTTATATGCATGCATACAAATCCTTTGGATGATCTTTCCCCCACCCCTCCCTACCTTCCCTCTGAGGTTTGACAGTATGACCGATGCTTCCCTGTCTCCGGGTCTGTTTTTGTTCATCAGTTTATGTTGTTCATTTTCCTAGATGCGTGAGATCATGTGATATAAGAAACACACTTAGAACAGAAAATGAGACAAGTGTAAATGGTTACGCTGAGAGGCAAATGAATTAGTCTGCAGTGAGTTTCTTTCTGGGCCAACAGTTCTTTTGGGTCCCAACTTCAATGTCAAACAGATCCTTATGTGTACATGGCAGCAATGATATTTCAGTTCTGGATGGTGGAAAAATGGTGGTGATGCAGGTCTGACCATCTCTGGTTTGGTCCTGGGCATCCTTCAGCAGCGCACAGCCACTGTCTGCTAGTATGGTAAAGCATTGTCAGTTCATCTCTGGACTGTTTCTCTTATCTTCATGGCTGGAGCAGACCTGTCAATTCCTCTCTGTTACAGGAATCCACATGGTCTTGGAGTTGTTTTCTGAAAATATACAAACATATTCTTGACCAAAAGTTAATAAAGGAATATTTTCTATAAATTTGACTTGGGATCCTTTTTCACTTTTTGCCCAAATGATTTTCCTCTGGCTAGTTTTGACACCATATGTGTTTTTCATGGGTGTCTTGAGCTGCCGAAAGTGTATATTTGGAGGTGGAGGTCCCAGGGTCCACGGGTATACAGCTGGGGTAGCAGGATATTGGCTGGAGTACGTGCTGGGTTTCAGGGCAGTTCCAAGGCCTGTCTTGTTGGTGGTGTTATGAGTTTCTAAAAAAGGCTGTTTTCTGCTCAAGATGGCGTGGGCTGCGTGCTGGAGTCCCATCATCCTGGGAGTGCCTGCAGCGGTGGTAGTGTCTCCTTTTCAAGGAGAGGCTTTCTGCCAGCCCCTGCTGCTCCTGCGAGATTTAACTTTCCCTCACTCACACACCTCTCCCACGCACAATCACACACTCTTTTTTCATACCCTCATTCACTTGCTCTCTCTCAGCTCTGTCCTGCCAGCCACCATGTTTTCTCCCAGCCCTGGCAGTTTTATGGGAACTTTGAGAATGGGTATTAAGGATGGTGGAGCAGAAAAAACAAAATATACACCTCTGCTGATTTTATATAATAGCCATAACTTTGGTCTTCCTGGTTTCTGTACTTCTTTATATAGAAATGAAAATAAACTTACTTATTGATGCTATTGTTATTTTCTTGTTGACAAAATTATTAAGGATATAAAATTTTATATCTGGATGTGGAGTCACGTGGCTAAGGAAATTTCAAATGTGGCACTGCTTTAGGTCTGTGAAGAATGAGGATCTACCTGTCTCAGAAAGAAAACTGAAGATTGTTTTTATGCCCAAAACATTTGGTCAGACTCCCACTTTATCTCGCAAGGCATATTTTGTACCAATTAAGATTATGATGTTAGGGAAAATAATAGGACCAATTCAGAATGTGGGTTTCATATGCTTTCTGCATTTGGTAATGTCCTGTGAAAGAAATTTAATGGAGAGTAAGATACCATGGGTGCTTTCAGAGATTGAAAACAATATTACTTTGTTGAGAGAGGTAGGTGCTAAATCCAGGTTGATAGTAAATTTTAGAACTTTGATCCTTGTGGGATTTAAAATGCCAAACTTTTTAACTGATGCCACTTACAATGATTTAAAGTGGCAGCCTAAATAAGAAACGAGACCATTGCTAATCCTTGTAAATGTAGAGAATCTGTTAGCAAAAGAAAAAAATAATTTAAAATGCTTTCCCAATGTTCTTATTTATTAAGTACTTAATATTTCAACTACTCTTTTTAAGTATTTGGTATATACCAGTGAGCAATTCTAGTAGGAGAAGATAGAATAATACGTTGTAGAATATGTTAAAACATACGTGTTATAGGGTGAAATTTTCAAAAGGACTGTAGGGGGGTATAACTTAGGCTTCTATATGAAATAGAATCATCAGGGTAAACCATGGAGAAGGAGGTATTTGAGTCACGATTTGAAGGGGTGAAGGGTTAAATCATTATTTAAAGGAAGGGCATTCCAGGCTGAGGAAAAAGAGCAAAGGCCCTTACATTGCTAGTGTGTTTGAGGAACACCAGTGGAGATATTGTAAAGGTTTGTGCTAATGGGTAATTGATAAAGAAGGTAAGAAAGATAATGACTATACCTTGTATGTAATTTTATATTTTGAGCAGGGGACATGATCTGACATATTGCTATTGTGTTTAAAATTTTTTAAGTGTAAGGGCTATGAATAGAGGTTATGGCATTAATTCAGATAAATGATGATAGTGGCTCAGACCAGGGTAGCAACAATGGTGAGAAGTGGTTGGATTCTAGATATATGGTAAATATGATGGAGCAAGCAAAATTTGTTAGATGTAGGTTAGATGTCAGGTGTAAGAGAAAAAGTCCAGGGTACTGACCCAAAAGTTTAGGACTCAAGTAACTGGAAAGATGTTCTCATCAGCTGAGATAGGGAAAGGTACAGTTCCATCAGGTTTGTGGTGGGAGATTGGAAGTACAATTGTGGACATTCTGAGTTTGGCATGTCTTTTTGACAGAAAATAACAATATTGAGTAAACACTTGGATGTTCTAATTTGTACTATTATAGGTATTATATTAATTTGCTAATTATTACCTATAGTTATTTAAAAGCATGAGGCAAAAAGTCATGAAGGACTTGAGTGTGGAGAGAGAAAAGAACATAGAGAACTGGTCCACCTTGAGAGTTCAAGGATAAAAGACCATCAAAGCAGGATCAGTGATCCCTAACTGGTTTGGCTCAGTGAATAGAGCATTGACCTGCAGACTAAAGGATCCCGGGTTCAATTCTGGTCAAGGAGATGTACCTTGGTTGTGAGCACATCCCCAGTAGGAGGTGTGCAGGAGGCAGCTGATTGATGTTTCTCTCTCATCGATGTTTCTAGCTCTCTATCTCTCTTCCTCTCTATAAAAAAATCAATAAAATGTATTTTTTTTTTTTTAAAGCAGGATCAGTGAGATGTAAGGACAACTAATAGTGAAGAACCACAGAAGCCAAATGAAAGTGAGTCAAAGGAAGGATGATCAATGCTATCAGATACTGTTTTCAGATTATATGAACTGGCTATTGGATTTAGCTATAGTGAAGCTTTTGTTGACCTTGAGAAGAGCAAGGGTATTTTGTTTGTGCATTTGTTTGCTTGCTTTGGAGTGGTAGAAGTGAAAGATAAAGACTGAAAACTTATGATCATGCATAGAGATAACTACTTAGAGGCATTTTGCTGCTAAAGGATGTAGAGAGATAGGTTTATAATTAGCAATAGGAATAGGAGAACATTTTAAGGATAGGGAATATAATAGCAATTCTTTACTGTGGTTGGAGTAATCCACTAGAAAGGAAAAATGATTTCAGACAAAGAAGGAAGAATCACTGGAGGAATGACCTCACACAGGTTATGATTTAGTGGATGAAGGATTAGCTTTAGACAATATGGAAAATTTATTCCTGGCAATAGGATGGCAGAATATGGGATGCAGGTCCTGGGAAATGAGTACATAAGGTGGAAGAAATCTTGCAAAATATTTCTCTGTTTCCTTAAATGATATGAAGTGGTAAGCAAACATAGATGAATGTTATGAGGGTTGAGAGATTTGAGGCTTTAAATAAAAGATATGAAATAGTTATTAGAAT